TCACCCTGTATCTCAATAGTCACAGCCAAGATTTTCAGGGGAAAACGCGTTCTTTTGAAATTTCCGAAATGATTATTTGGCTGAAAATAATAATTGCGCCTTTTTGCGTTAATTGCTTAGAGTAACTCTTAGTATTTATGATTCGCACGACCCTTCGCTCGCCAAACGCGAGAGAGCTTTCTGGATATATTGAAATTAACAGACGGTAGAGTAGCTCGCAGTGGATCCTTCCCTCTGTGTATCTGTCGTTTGCTCGTGCCTTCAGTCGAAGAGGGAAGTTCCGGAAGTGCTCCTTCGAGCATATTCCTCCGAGCAGCTAAAACACTTGGCAGATTAAAGTGATTAACAGGTTGGCTGCCGGCCCCTTTCGAAGCTCTCCCTCGGCAGCTATTCGCTATTTGCCGGCGACCGTGCCCCGAGCACTCGCTCGTCGAACTTTAGTTTACGACTTGCGGCATACCTTCTCGTCGCCGTCATCATCTTACCCCAGCAAGTTTGCCCGAACACGGCCCGGCACGAATACTTTTGCCGTTCAGTCAAACCGCTGAGAATATTCGCTCGGTTATTATCGACTTTCTGTGGTCACGATTGAAGTTAAAACCCCGCACCTCTGAGGCGCGCGACTGAATTTATCGCATCCCCAAAGAAGAAGATATGGTGACGTCTGTCACACAAGTGACAGCTATACGAGTTGCGTATATAGAATTAATGTATACAGTAAGGTAAATACCAACGAGTCGCGCGACGGTAAGGAAGAAGCGTAGATAGATATAATTAATATCGCTCGCGAAACTTGTTTGACTTAGTTCGCTACCAATAAATACGCTGTACTTGGAGAAGCGATCAGGTTTAGCTACTTCGGGGAGATATGATCGTAGATCGCAGCGATGTGTATACTATAACTATTCGGTAACTTTGGTCATTATCAGTTTAGATCGGTAATCCACGGATTAGGCTAAATCCTCTTCGAAATTGGTATTACATGAATACGAAGCTGCTGAAAAAGCCGCACATGCCGTCGCGTCAATACAACGAAGCCGAACAGAACCTCAATTTTGCGAAAAGTAGCAGCTTGCTGTAATCGTCACTTACACAGCCTCACATTTTATATCTGCCCGTAATTCAAATTTTTATGAAACTGCATAATCTATTTTTTCATTTCTTTTCTTTTTTTTGCTAAAGCTTTGAAGAAAATTACCTTTGCGTAAATTATCTTCGCGTAAATACATACGGGAGCCCCGTTAAAACATCGACGCGGGAATCCAAAGTCTGTTATTAACTTTCTTATCGTATCATAGTCGACATGAGCTCGCTAAGAAGAACACTGCTCGAATCCAAATATGTGTGTATGTGTGTGTGTCATTGTCTACGTCTTGTCGGAGTTAACAACAGGCGGAGGAGGAACGACGGGATGCCCATTAACGACACATATCTCACGCGAGATCAACCTCGAATAATGTCCTCTTAAATACGCTATCGACGTCGGCGAATGCCGCATGAGACTCGTCGACGCTGTGTTAACAACCGCTCGAATGTGCCTCGTGCCCCGCTCCGAGGAAAACGAATCGGCGAATCGTTAACGATCGTATTTATCGCGGCGATTAAAAAACCCCCTATCGGCCGAGTTTATCGCCGCACGTCGAGAACGGATAATTAAAGATTAAAAGCGTTCGCGCTGAGCGCACCGCCAAGGAGCGCCGCGCGCGCGCGCGCGCAACTATATTGTATAATTAATGTTATCTTACATTTCATGTTATCTCGCGTTTTATATCTCGCGCATCGGTGCGCCCGCGTAAAAAATCGGGAGCGACTTTGCTACCTCATTAGACACATGTCGCCGTTGAACTAGCGTATTCATTCTATACTCATTATGATATTCTTAATCGGATTTCTACACGGAGAAAAACAATTTTGCTCTTTTAACAAAATCGTCGTTGCAACTGTATATTGGTAGTGACATCAAAAAAATTTAGTTGACGTAACTAATTTTACAAATTACTCGTTATCAGAGCAGAAGTAGTTTCGTTGCCAGGACAGAACAAATTTGTTGAGTGTATTTGTCCTAAGAATCACATTAATTTGCTATTGATGTAAAATAATGTATCCTTAGCAAACTTATTTGCTATCGAAGCAAAACTGCAACTGTTTATATAAATCCATCATGGTTCTTATAGCAAAATAATTTGTAGGTTCAGCAAATTATATCCAGCAAATAGTGATTAGTACTTTTAGCAAATCTTTTTGCTGTCCATATAATAACAAAAAGATTTTGCTAGACCAGCAGAAAATTTGTTGGGCCAGCAAATTATTTTTCTCCGTGTAGTTTTCACGAGAACCTTTACGCCGAAGACTTTCTGCCGTTATGAAAATTTCTCTAACCCTCGAACAAAGCCGGAATAAGTACAAATATACTATATAAACAGATTCTGTTGGTAAATAGTCTAAAGTAAGAAAAACATAATCAGCCTAGTTGCGGATATTAGTGGGATTAATCTTCATTTAAGTCACGAAGACAATTTTTGCGTTATCACACACATACATTTATAACAATGTGATTGTTAATTTGAATGTGTTAGTTTTAAATGGACATTAACTTCTTTCTCTATGTACGAAGAATCGTACATTTTACTCGTACGAGATTGATAGTTGGGAATTTAAAGAAATTACAAACAAAAATAATTCTCCGTTCTTGATTTATTTTTGTACTCGATGAAGTCGTCTTCCCGTTTGTACTCGTCGCACGATTCTTTCTACGGAAAAGCGTCCTCTTATACGATTTATCGTAATTCTTTTTAAGTCTAAAGATACTGATTAACATATAGTATATACTTAGTCCTATCAATACAACCACCACACTTTCAGGTGCGCGCACGCGTTATTGGATTGCGATGAATACCGCAGCACAATTATTTATACATACATACACACACACACACACTCTCTCTCTCTCTCTCTCTCTCTCTCTCTCTCCTTCTCTGCACGAGTACAACGGCGCAGCCGGGTTTGCCCCCGATACGTTCACGTTCGCGGTAATGGAACCGCTGATTTACTGGTTTAGCTCGGCCGTCTATCGCCTGGCCACGGTTCAAATTAGCTCCAGCGTATCGGCACACCGAGATGTGTTCTTCGAGAGCGCCGTAACCGGCCGGAGGCTCGCCCGAAATCGCGCATGCCGGGTATCCAGCCCGAGCAGGACGAACATCGCGTGTTAACCGAAGTTTAAAAATAAAAAAACCAGTTCTGTTTGTTCCGCGTTTGTCGACTCGATCGAGCTGACGGCGCGGGCAATCTCACCGTTAACGAATTGCAACCCACCGAGACGTCGGCTTTAATTTAACTCGAAATCGGACGGGATCGCACTCGCGATGATGTTCCCGCGTGTATCCTCTCGGAAACTCGGAATCCTCTCTCTATTGTAGATGTCATATGCGTATATTCGCATTGGAACAACGCGAAATGGATGCGGCGAACGATCGACCGGAGCCGGTTTCGCTGAAAGCAGCAAGTCGACGTGGAAGGCAGAGTATGAGCGTCTCGCAACGCGACACTTCGCACTTGATTCATCGCGTTCGCGCTCTAATCACGGTATTATACCGCGCGGTGGGATAACTTTGCGAAGTCGCGCGGCAAGTGAGACGAGACGAGACAACACGAGACGAGACGAGATGAGGCGAGACGAGGCAAGGCGAAGCGAGAGATGTCGGGAATTTATGTAGACAACCCGGCGACATCGGGAAGACAGCTCGCTTTATGCTGATCCTCTTATCCCAACCCCGCCTGCTTCGCACGCGCGGTCGCCTCAGCGTCTACCTCCGCTACGGAGGAAGGGAGGTACTTACGTACGTACGTACGTACGTCTGCTCGCGTTTACGAGAGACGAGGCTCTCGCGAAACGGCTTTCCGCCCGCCACGGAAACCCGAAGAAAATGGAACATGGCGGTTCCCGAGTTGAGCCACGAACACGCGCGAGAGAGAGAGAGAGAGAGAGAGAGACGATCTGCAACGTAGCCGTGAATCGAAATCGCGAAAGAAACGAGCGTCGCTCTTTCTGCTTGCGTTACACGCGACGCGAGACAGAATTTATGAGCGTAGAATTTGACTCCGAGATAGTGGCAAAGTAACGGAAATGAACGATGTAAAATAACGATGATTGAAAAGATCCCGGTGGCGAAGGGAACGAAAGACACACGAAGATTTCGTTTATTTCGTTTTTTTTTTCGTTTGTTTGATTATTGAACGAAAAAACGATGCGTCGAGACGCGTTGCAACGTGAAAGGTGCGAGAATTTAGTACGCTATTGGTAAAACCGATTATCCCGCGGAAGTCGCGCGCAAAACGATCGATCAACATCGCGATGGTCAATCATTTGTACTCGAGCCACCAGCTCTACGGCTGGCCCGTGAGATTCTCGCGCGCTTACCGTGTAGTTTGCGTCGCTGCAACAAGTTGTCGCGACTTATCTCTGTGTTGCCTTGTATTATAAATTAGAATATAAAGTCTACATTTTATATAGAGGCGATGTACAAGACGTCGGAATTCTACTTGCAGCTTCATGCACCATGTAATGCGTAAAAACACCGGGACATTTGTATGCGTACGCGCATACGTCTACGGGTGTAGTTCCGGTTCTTCGGATGTGTTTCCCTACGAGTGAACTTGTATATAAAAATGTATATAAATATATATATAAATATAAATATATATAAATATATTATAAATATTATAAATATATAAATATATATAAATATATTATAAATATATATTATAATATATATATAAATATATAAATATATATATAAATATATATATAAATGTATATAAATGTGTATAAATATATATATATATATATATATATATATATATATATTTAGTCCACAGAGAAACGCAAGTTTCTCACGATTGCGCGGCGAGAAGACAGGGAAAAAGTGTGCGAATCATTAGGATCCAAATCGTTACGGTACACAGTTGTACACGGCGAGACGTGTGGTTCGCTGTTACAGGTATCTTCACGGTGATGTGCTACAACGTGTTGTGTGACAAGTACGCCACGCGACAGATGTACGGCTACTGTCCGAGCTGGGCGTTAGACTGGGAGTACCGGAAGAAGGGCATCCTCGATGAAATACGCCATTACGCCGCGGACATCATCAGCCTGCAGGAGGTCGAGACGGACCAATTCTACAACTTCTTCCTGCCGGAGCTCAAGCACGACGGCTACGACGGCATATTCTCGCCCAAGTCCCGGGCGAAGACGATGGCGGAGAATGATCGCAAATACGTCGACGGTTGCGCCATTTTTTACAGGACCGCCAAGTAAGCGCATTCCTACATTTCTCTTGATTCGTACGGTATAACAAGGCTGCCTGTGTGTGTGCGCGTGTATATATATAGTAGGTTGCAAAACGGTTTGGACACAATAAAGTTGGAAGCTCACCAAACTGTTAAAATTGAGGATCATTACCAAAGGGCTTAGGCAATAATAATATTATTAATAATGTAATTAAAAGAACTAAATATAGCATTATTCATAATAGTAATTAATAATACAATTATTTAATAATACAATTATTGAGTTAGGTTATCACACAAATACAGTAATGACGCTCTCGTCGGCGATACGTCGATCAATATTAAGAGGCGTAATAATTTAATTAACGCACACATGAAGATATAGAAAATGCAATCAGATGTAGTACAGTTATCGATCACGCGTGATTATGAATGTTTTGTCAACAAATTTACCGTGAAATTATTGGAACCAGACATCCACATATCCAGAAATCCACACACACACCTGCATATCCAGACACCCACATACCCAGATACTCACACACCCAGACATGCATACATTTACCTACACGCGCGCACACACACACACATTTTTGTAATTTCTGGCTAAACAAACTTTCCTGGAAACTAATTGACAGAACAAAATTTCAAATCGGATAACTGAATAGAAATCAGACGGAAATCTTACATTTTGATATTCAATTATTGCGTCAGAAAATATCGCCGTTGTATCGCCAAACTACAATTGCAAAGCTGGCAGGCTTCGCTTATCACGAGCGATATCAGGGAAGCAGCAGTGGTAGTGACAACGACGGCGTGTCTCGTCTCGCGAAGCGCGACATTTAATTCCAAAAGGGACGAAAGACGCATCCGCTCGTAATTTAACAAAGCGTCGCGCGCATGTCTGGCGTGTAATAACGTCATGGTAATCCAATATCGCGTCAGATAGTAAACGCGCGTCGTAAATCGCCGGCCTCAGTGTTTAATAGAAAAGCGGTCGTGCCGCTTTCGTGAACGTATATCTCCTCGTATTTGGCGAATAAATTAACTAGAAATCGTTGAATCTTTCCTTCCTATCTCCTTCTTCAGTGATCAAAATTTCTGGTCAATTACTGACCATATTTCAGCTTATTTTTTATTCACCAACGCGAAACGATTTTCATGTCGACACGAAACGACTTCTCATAATTTCGCAACGTCGCGTCTATTTCCTTCGACTTTCTCGGCATACATGGACACGATATTTCTGACTTCAATGAAGTTTCCCAAGTGCACACTCACACGATGTCAGAATTATTGGCGCACAGCGAGAGACGACATCGATACGCGGAGAAATTGCCTTCACCGCACCGTACCGTGCTCCGACGCGATGTACGGTCGAACGTCGCAGTTGCCCGCGCGCGGCTTCTATGACGCATTAATCATCGCCGGCCACGCTGCGAGATATCTATTTCGACTAATGCTTATTTTCAATGTATCTCGACGTAATGGCAGGTCCACGATATCGCCGCGCTGTGCTGTGCTGCGACGCGCTCCGGGCTATCGAGCGTGACGATTAATGCGAGCGTATGCATATGTCGCGCGACCCGCGTAACGGTCTCTTTATAGTCCATCGTCGTAAATAATCCGTGAAGTAAATGCCTCTCTGTGACAATATTAAGGTCGATGGAGCGAATGCATGTGTCTGTCTGTGGGTGCCCCTTCTTCCTCCCATTCTCTCTCCCTCCATTGGCAAACCCGCTTAAACGACATACCGCGGTCGTCTTAACTTGCCGCCGCGTCATTTGCAGTGTTAAACATTGCCGCGTCAATCGGAAGGGTTCATAACTCGAGATTAACGTCAAGATGAGAAGAGCAAAACCTTCGCGAATGTGTCGGCCGATTGTTTTTATGTGAAACTGTAATCGAGGTAAAGAAAGGATATATATCGATTTGACCGAACATAAATGTCTGAGGAGTCCTCTCTGTTCATGTATTAATATATCTTTTAAATTAAATTTAGGATCAAAACAAGGATAATCGTAGTATCAGCGAGTTCGCGCTTCAAGTCTTGACAATTCGAAAAAAGATCATATCTTTAACTTTTCGTGTGCAATCATATTTTTTGGAATACGCAGTACAACTTGGATTTGTCAGACAATTTTGAACTGCCACACATGATTTTGTTTAAAATCAATATTTTTGAGTAAAACGTTTGTTTTCCAGAGATATAGAAAAGCTTCAGCTACACTGAGAGAAAAAATATCTAAAAAATAATAAATATTTATTTGGCAGGCATACAGAGAGAACGATTTGGTTGAATGAAATAAACATTTTTTTGAAATAGTTCAAATGAATTTTTTTATTGATCGAACAAAATTTTGTTTGACGCAACAAAAATATTTATTTGCAGCTAAGTTCCAAAGAAATATTTTTGTTATGTCAACCAAATAATTCGTTTGAACTATTCCAAAGAAACGTTTATTTGATTGAACAAATCGTTCTCTCTGAGTGCACTAATTTGACATATTTAGTTAAATCTAAATTCTTTTATTTAAATAGAAAAAACAATTGCTTTTTTTCGAGAAAAGCTAAAGTTTTCATAAAGTTCTAAGAAAAGCTAAATTTCGTGAAGTTCTAAGAAAATGTATTAGGTGTACAAATAAGTTCGCCTTTACATTCAATCAATTATAATTCTGTTTTACATTAATATTTTTCCTTCCGTTTTGAGGTTTTAAAAAATGTTGACTTTTTAAACGCATCATATAACTTGACTCTACTTGCGACATAATCTCAAAAAACAGTAGTTTACACCACCTTTTTCTTAGAAAGAGCATGTTAGGTTTTATATTCTTTTCGCTTTCCAACTATCGCGTTTATCGCGTTCGTCTGATCAAACACGGCCTGTACTACTGCGAAACGCACAAGGTCGCGTATAATTCCTCTCTGTCTCAGTCCTTCCCCTTTCTCTTTCTCTTCGTCTCGCTATCGGTCGACGATGAGGGGGAAAAAGGCAGGGAAAGAGCTTATGGTCGCTTTTATGACTTGCAAAGACGCGGCTGTCGATTTCAATCCAGCCGCAACACGACCAAATCGACCGAACCGAATCAGCGGCGCGACCGACTCGCGCGATGAGCATAAAGTTTGACTAGCTTTCAATTTCCGCCTTCGGCGCACTCGCCCCTCAATCATTCTCAGCTTTATTGCCTCCCCTCGTCGAGGTTATACGATCGTCACATCAAGGTGCCGCTACTTAAAAACGAGAAGAAAATAGGGAGAGAGGAAGGACGGAGAAATCGTAAGACTCAAAGTTACGCGTGCGTTCTTTCGCAGGTTCTTTTACTGTTAAAAATTCTACGAATCATCAGACGTAATAAATATCCTTCGAACGCGTCGGCTTCACTCCCTTGTGATATGAGAACTGAGCCTAAGGAGGAGAATCACTAAGAAAAATCTGTTGGTTATTAGAAGAAAAGCACGTTTGCTGTTTGATAATCGTTAAGAAAACATATCGAACAGTCACTGTTGCAAATCATTCCCTATCATTTATCATCTTAACAAACATACATTACCTGAGATATAAATCATACATTTGTTTTCGTCTATTTAGATTAGGTTAGTTATATCTCCATTACAGAATGTATATTACTTAAAGCAACAAATTGAAAGTAACAGATTATTTGTTCTCATTATGAGGTCATTTACTGCCCCATATCAACAAGCCATATCTTGCTATTTTGTTAAATTAGCAAAACTTTTCTCTCAGTAAAGGAGAAGAAGTAGGGAATATGTCTCCGTAAGAAGACACGTAATTACAATCGCGAGTGAAGTACTTTCGTTCTCGAGGGTTCGCGTTGGAGTTTGCAACAAAATCGCCAAAAAGAGCGAATTGTGAGGCGCGATCGAATTGTGTTCGAGCGGTTCGAAATGAAGATGTATATTCGAGCCTCAAGTTCAGACAATTCGCGAACGGCCCAAACGAAATAAGCGGCCAAGTCTTCGAGTTCATTCGGCTCCATGGGTGAACGTGTTTTCGTCGCAATTCTCCCTCCCTCCCTCCCTCTCGTTCTTCCTCTCGTTCTTTCTTCTTAAGCAACTGCGAATGACGTTGATTCAATCTTGTTTACGGCCCACGGAGAGAAGAAGTCGGCAAAGGGCAGGAGGCAGGAGTGGATGATGGCTCGTAATGGGTATTCAGCGAAGCATATATTTCTCAGGCATATATGTGCCGCACATATCCGCCGTGCAGGCGGCACGAAGACGGCGAGGTGGAGGAGAGAAGGAAGCCCAAGTATTCTACATCGCGTACGTGATACGCCTTTCTCACGAGTGCTGGCCGCTCACGACGAAAATCGTCCGGCACGACGACGACGACGAGAACGACGGTGACGCTCGCGTCTCGTATCCACGTCGTGTCGCACGCTCACCCCGACCCTTCCACGTCACCCCGCGGCGAAATTGTGCTTCGCCGGCCGTTTACCGGGACTTATGCCGAGCGACCGATTCCTCCCCATACATAGTCTCGTCTGGAATTTCTCTAGTCAGAGTTAGAACTAAAGTATGACGATTGCTCTGCATCCTGTTTGCTGTTTTTAGGGTTGACGTGAGTGGGAGAAAAGAAGAGAGACTCTTGAAAAGAAGCTCTGAATGTATGAAGCACGTTGCAACTTCTCTCTCACTCACTCACTTCCTCTCTACAAGTGGCGGACGATTTAACTCTGATTTCAGGAACTCTAGTTTCACCATTTGTGGCTCGAATCGCGTCGAAGCTAACGCACACTACTTGCCACGACTCCAACGCGATGCGATTAATCGTTTCGGGCGTCTCTCCCGCATGCAATTCTATCAGCGAACGCGGGAAAGACGGATATCGTCGAGATCTTTCGTTTGACAGTCGGATTATTACTACACGGAGAGAATATTATAGTTTTTAGTCTTGTTTTTAAATTTTTTATATCTCGATTTTAAGTTTCTAGTGGTGCAGGAATAGAGATCAGTCTGATCTACAATATGCTCTTTGCTTCCTGTTTCTTTCTTTTTATCTCTTTCTAACTTAAATCTTAAGCTACAAAAAGATACAGAACATGAAACAGAAAGTAAAAAGCACATTATAGATTAGACTTTCGATCTATCTTGCTAAAGACCATGTTTCGCTAGAAACATAACAAAAAATGCGACCAAGATGTTTTATCTGATTTTAGGGTTTTCGATAATTTCTTTTTATATACGATTAAAGGTCACGTTTTATTCCAAAAATATGTAACTCTCTCAACTCTCTATAAAGGATAATCAATTACTGCAGAATGTTGATCTATGCCTCGATCATGAAATTCTATAATAATTTTTGCTGTAAAATTCTGTCCGTGTATCTCTGAAAAAAATGTGTTCATGATAACGCAAAGTGTCTTGCACGAGAGACATGATTTTGTGTTAATTTATAAATCTTTCATTTTTTACACAATTTATTCTCAACTATTTCGTGAGATGCAATGACGCCTCGGTTCTACATGCATGATAATATTCCCGTCGTTCTTTTGCAGATTTACCTTGATAAAGGAGCATTTAGTCGAATTTAACCAATTGGCAATGGCAAACGCAGAAGGCTCGGACAACATGCTAAATCGTGTTATGCCCAAGGACAACATCGGGCTGGCTGCGTTACTTAGGACTAAGGATGCCGCTTGGGACAATGGTGAGTGCACGCAAAATTAATGTAGCTTCTCTCGATCCATATAGCAGCAGAATTGCGGATTTACAAGCCATTTGCGCAAACTGCAGGTGTACGTTCATTATTTGTCCCTTTAATCCCGATTCCTATCGAATCTCGATTTTCGAGTTCTCACGAATTCTCCTCCTAAAATACAATTAGTGTATTCTTCGCTGAAACACTGCACTTATAACTAGTTTAATTATAAGTCTAGTACTTCTCTACAATTAGTAAAATTGAAAGAAGGATTGTACTTTAGAGAGTACTGATTCACTTTAGAAAAGAGCGGCTATCCCTTACTATTGCAAACTTATAGTCCGGGTAGAAATTAATCGGAACACGCCCTAAGTAATGTTATGGCCCTTATCCCAAAATAGGTATGCCTTCGTAGAGTTCAGATATAGTCAGATATAGGCGATAGGTTATATCTCTGTGTAAGGAGACTTGTCTTTGGTCCACTGTCAAGGGCCTTGACAGAAATAGGGAAAACTTATCCAGGTTCTCCTTTCCATTTCCCATTTTATTTCTACCCGGGAAAGGAACATACGTTCATAGAGCAACCCCACGTTAAAATGTGAGATGAGAACAAGTGTCCCATAATTTGAGCGTTATCTAAACTCGCCGAGCAACCGACCTCTCATCCTGAAACTGACGAGATAATTCAGATATGTGAATATATGACGAGATAATTCGAGCTCTGGCATGTGCTCGCATTTTAGGGGTATATTTCGAAAGGAATTGCACGGTTCGTGATCGCATTACGTAATGTCCTGAACGCGGGAATAAGAACTAGTCGACTATCTTTCTTTCTCTCTCTCTTTTCTCTCTCTCTCTCTCTCTCTCTCTCTCTCTCTCTCTCTCTCTCTCTCTCTCAACATCTCGAGATAATCCGGAGAACGGGAGAGGATTAAAGATAACGTAAACGATCCGCCGGAATAAAAGGAAGGTAAAGACATAGCTCCGACGCTCTGAGCGTCCGTTTCGCACACGCCCACGGACGAGTCGCGTATCCAGCTGCGTGTTTGCACACTGTGAAACACGAAAGTAATTAACGCCGGCCTCTCGGTAACCGATGAAGCTGCCGGACTACCGGACGCGCAATATACAGAAGTTCGCGTTTTTTTCTGCGGCGCGTCGGGAAGCGCGCGGCGATGATTGAAGCGAGTAAATCGAGCACGATGTTCTGATCCAGCGCGCATGCATAGGGTGAACCGACATTTACGCAACGCGGCAGAATAAAGAGCTTTGAGCTGTTCGCGGGGACGATCTGAGGTCGACGAGCCTTGATACTCGATCTGCGATTATTTTCAAATTTCGTGGTTCATAATTGAAAAACAAATTTGGCGTCGCAATATTTCCGCGAAAAGGGACAATCGAAATTGAAAAATTCACTTTAAGCTAACTATGATGGAATTTTGTTTGTGATTTTATGTATAACCTCTTTGCACGGAGAATTTGTGAGAATTTTATAGTATAAATTACTTTAGGACTTTGTAACCGAGAAGTAGGTCGACGGTAATTTATTCTTTTTTATTTTATATGTGTTACTTATATTTCATGATCTGAAATGTCCTCAACTAAAACACTTGCTATGTTTCTAGTGAAATCTGCTAGTGAAATTTACTTTTTTTTTTTTAACTGGATAGACCATACTCACAGTCTATTCCTGTTTATATGTGTATATATGTATGTGTGCGTATGTGGACTACAAGAAATACAATAAAATTGAAAAGATTTCATGTGAAAAAAGAAAAATTATAATATTCTCTACGTATGTAATATAGAAAAAGATATGCCGATTTATAGGTACACGCACATGCATTCGTGATTAAATGTAATTTTGGTTTCTTAGATATGTTTTCTCGCAAATGAGTATTTCGTTGCGAATTGTGAGTTGTCCGAAGCGGATTCGAGTTTGTCGCAGGAAACGCCAAGAAATCGGCCTAACCTAGACACCCCGTATAGCGAGTCGTATCGCAGAATGCGCGGGGTAAGAGCGAGGCGAACCAGGCCCAAGATTTATATGGTGGTCCAAAGGTCGAGCGGCTATTACGGCTCACTCCGACGCGTCGGGACGTGCTCTCGTTAATGAGCCATTACCTCTGTTACATTAATCCACGGCGGGCGCAACGACCGGTCGTGGAAAAAACGACGGAACTTTTCGCTCTCGGTTACGAGCGCGGGATAATCGATCGCGCTCGCGAGACCGGCGATTTCTCGACGGTCTCTCTCGCGCTTCCTGCGCCGCGGTTAACACCTGGTTAGCTTCTCGTTTAGCGAAAGTTATTACCGCCGGGGGTTGCCGTAAGAAGAAAGCGTTGGATCACCGAATCGTCTCGTAACGTTGTTTTCTCGGCGCGTAACGACCGTCGCAGGGTGCGAATCCCGACTAGAAAATTGATCAATTTCTAATTAGCAACTGATGAGAAAATTCGATTACTGTAAAAGAACATTTTTTTACTTAGTTTGACCTAATGTACAAACGGCAACAGATGTCACCATCACAGCTCATCTACTGTACTGTATGTACGTGATCATTCACCGACCTTTCCTGATTGATAACACAAAATTTTACGTGATTGTTTACCAAATGCTAGGGAAATTTTCTGTTCAGTTTGATGAATTGTATGAGTTCCTATACACGTTCCTATACGCAGCTGCAAATTGTATAGCAAATTGTCGGACACCCTATATTGAAAATAGAAATATTCGTATTTAAAGACCAAAATGATAATAATGTCCAGGAATAGTTATCAATATTATTAGTGTTCAGTGTGTATTTGTGTGTGTGTGTGTGTGTGTGTGTGTGTGTGTGTATACACAGAGAGACATTCTCTGTTGAAAAATCCCGATGACAAAATAAACGGATATTTCCAATCAAAGTCTGATCAAATACTGATCAATCTTTATGTCCGGTCAGGAAACATCCGATGAGAAATATCGGTTCTTAATTTTTTTTGATCGGTTTATCTGGAATGCCATTAATGAGCGGAAATATCCAATTAAATTTTATCGAGTATCCCGATCGGAAATATAAAAATTGTTCAGAATTTAATCGGAAATATCTGTTTGTTAATTTTTGTCGGATAATTTCTCTTAGTGCACTTCCACTTTTTATGACGCGAAGCCGGCGGTGGAGAGTTCACTGGTTAGCACTGAACGCGCGATGAGAAGCCGTCAGATGGATGTCTCCTCATGGAGATGGATGCACTTACAAGCACAGCAAGGGAAAGGGAAAAGGAATAAACGAGATTGGATCTCGATCGAAATTAGAATCCGTGTAACCGTAGCAATGAGGCGCGATTAATGATCACCCTTACTCAAATACGAGCGGGATTCTGCAGGACGCGTCTTTGCCTTATATAGAATCCTGTTTGATGGAGGACTTCTCTCTCTCTCCTCCCTCCCTCCTCCTCCCTCCTTCCCCTCTCCTCTCTCTTCCGGTCGAGTCCATGAAAAAGACCGGTCTGTTCCGAGGAACATCCGTATACACGTGGATACACGAATCTTAGAGCAGTTGCTGTCCATCGGTCTCGGATTAATAGTGTATCATCGGCGATACTAATAGTCCGATATCTGGCAGCACGATGAACGATACACGGTCCGGTCGGCGGGAATGCGAAGAGCGCGGACGGATCGTTTATCCGCGTTTAGACTGATGTGCGCGATCCGGACTCTTTTCTACGGAAACTTCAAGGTCTGAAAATTTGGTTAGGAAGTTAGTTATACCGCGCGAAAACGTTAACACCTCATAGCCTCTGCGCGATTGCATATTTGCTCTTTTCCACGTTTTCTGACGACGGGTGAGATCATGAAAATGTCACGTCCGCCCACGTCTCGTCATGCCCTCCTCCGAGTCGGCTCTGACGTCACGGAAGCGGTTCGTGTCGCAAAAAGTGAAGTCGAGTAATTGAATCCCGAGAGCGAGCAGCCATGAGAACTGCGTCGCGCCTCGTCTCCGTTACACGCGAGAGAGACACCTTGTCGCTTAATTAATCGCGCTCGCGATGCGATGCGTCTCGGGAGAGGAACGCGTCCGCTCAAGAGACGCACTCGCATTCTCGCGAGAAGTGCCTGAGGCAGATAAAGTAGCTGCGAACTCTCTCTCTCTCTCTCTCTCTCTCTCTCTCTCTCTCTCTCT